GGTCAAAACCCCTACAGTGGAACCTTGTTCAACAGTAACAAACTAGTGAAACGGCTTCTCTAAAGAAGGGAGTGCCAGGCCTGGGGCGGTGACTAAGGATTGTTCTCAATTCCTCTAGAATTTGAAGTTCCCCTGGGGTCCATTGGAGAGGGTCTGGCTCTCCCTCTAACAATTTGAAATACAAACTTCTAGCCTCTCTTTTTTTTATATAAGAAGGTATATGGTATATTATCCAAGAAAGTACACATGTTCTAAAGATATACGGAAGCTGATCCACAGTTTGGAAGATTCAGCTCAATAATTCCAATAAAAGCAAAGAGCAAGAAACATTAAAGAACGTCTGAAAAAATGCTACCCTTTAAACTCTTCTATTCTGAGCTGTGCTCCACTGAATGAAAGGGCTAGTCAAGGAGGCTGCTGACATGATTCCTGCTACAGTGCTTAGTTCCATTAGATAGGCAGATATTGGTAAAAATAATTACACTCTAAAACTAGCTAAACATTTGTAACTTAGAACATGAAATGACTAAAAATTACCTAATGTAAGAATTATAGCAATCAGTATTTCATTTACTACTTTAAGAACTGCTGGAATATTTAATAGGACTATCATGTTTCCACTAGGTAATCATCTCTACTTCAAGATATTGAGATTTGCCAATCTAAACAATTTGTCTATCCCAATGCTGACTCCTTGAAAAGACTCTAAACTTCTGATATGATAAGTAGTGTGTCCAGACTGGAATTATAGACAGGAATAATAAATGCTTTTCTGAACTGTGCACAAATCAACATTTTACAATTTTTTTTGGTTTTGTTTTTGAGAGGGCATCTCTCATATTTATTGATCAAATGGTTGTTAACAACAATAAAATTATGTATAGGGGACTCAATGCACAATCATTAATCAACCCCAAGCCTAATTCTCAATGGTCTCCAATCTTTTGAAGCATAACGAACAAATTCTAACATGGTGAACAAGTTCTTACATGGTGAACAGTGCAAGGGCAGAAACTTTTGGTTTTGATCACGTATCATGAACTATAAACAATCAAGTCAGATATGATTATTCGTTTGATTTTTATACTTGATTTATATGTGAATCCCACATTTCTCCCTTTATTATTATTATTATTATTTTTAATAAAATGCTGAAGTGGTAGGTAGATGCAAGATAAAGGTAGAAAACATAGTTTAGTGCTGTAAGAGGGCAAATGTAGATGATCAGGTGTGTGCCTATGGACTAAGTATTAATCCAAGCTAGACAAGGGCAGCAAAACATCCACGGATGCAGAAGATTTCTCTCAAAACAGGGGGGGTGAGGTTCTGAGCCTCACCTCTGTTGATCCCCGATTTCTCACCTGATGGCCCCCCTGCGACTGTGCCTGTCTTAGGTTGTTCCTCCCTTGAGGAATCTTACCCGTCTCTGTCTAGCCTCTCTTTTAACAAACACTTTTTGAGCTTCTCTCAGTAATTCCTCTATAGGTTTCTCATTCCATCCATCTAAATTCTGTAATTTCTTAGTGTTGGGTCCGTACAATCGACCTCCAAATAACTGGGAGACACGCAGATGCAAAAGCAAGAGTGTTTATTGGGTAGTCAGCATGCTGGGGTCTCATACTTGCAGGTGGAGACCCCAAAGTACAAGTTCATTTTTCTTTTATACATAGGAATGGGGCCGTGCGCAGAGCAGGCCGTGTGCAGACTGGGCCGTGTGCAGAATGGACCGTGCACAGAGCCGACCATGCGCAGAGCGGGCCTAGGTATGACTTGACCTTTACTGACTCTAGACTGCCAGGTGGGTGAGTCATCCTCCTTCTATTGGAAATAAACCTGGGTATAATTCTTTCACCCCAAGAACGTTTTGCTGTCAGTTTCTTTGGTCATACTGAATCCATAGTGAACTTGCCCGGGGCTGAAACCCATTGGCAAGACAGGGTGAAAGGTTATACCCAACTTTAGTTCCACGGTGGCAGGTCAATCACTAAAATGTCATCCACTCAGAGTGAGTCTGCATGCAGCAAGCCAGTCTCCGCCTCTGGGCCCCTCTGCCCGCACAGCCATCCTAGCCTCTGTCCTCAGCACTGCCACCACTCCAGCCTCTGTTCTGCTCTCCTGCAGCCTTGCAGCTGTGCCAACATCTTGCAGAGAGAACTGGGCAGAGCTCTTTATATAGAGTCAATAAAGACGCATTGATCACACATGTTTAGTGAGTTAGCCAACCAGGGCCAGGTGAGAATCCTGACCACAGGAACCTTCACTTTATCCACACCCCCCAATGCCCCTCCTCTTTCAGCCTTGGCCTCCTTTGGCACCTCTGACCCCAACCCTAAGCTCCAGGCAAACTGGGCTTCTCTGTACACCCTGACAAGCTCCCTCCCACCTCAAACTCAAACCTTTCACACACGCAGTTCCACTTATTCCTAAAACAGACCTCTTCTGCTTATGCTGATCCCATCTTTGCCTGGTTAACTTAAGCCTTCAAAGTACAGCATTACTAGCTCCACCTCCAAGAGCCTTTCTTGATGACTCCTACCCCACACTCGGTTAGGTCTGCCTATAACTTATTCTGTTAGCATCTCATATGTCTACTTGTAGCACAGATAAAAACTTTAATTAAGGGATTGCATTGTTATTGTTCATTGTCTATGTTCCTGACTATAAAATAAGGTGTACATCGTTGTAAACCTATACCTTTGCACAGAGTAGGCACTCAAAATTTGTAGAATTAATGAATGGTGAAAAGAGATGGCCTCCCAGAACAAATGGGATTAGAGCTTGAGGCAGGCCTGGACTCCATTGTCAGTGTGGTAGAGAAGAAGGAGCACTGGACAGAGAGTCAGGAATCTCAGCTTCTGGGTCCAGCTTGTAATTCAACTATTCACTCACTGTCCATAGCATACCAGGCACTGTATTAGGCACTGGCGACACAGTGTAAATGAGCTGTTCATGGTTTCCCTCCTCCTGGAAGCCTGGGGAAGGAGCGAGATGCGAGTTAAATAACTACACAAATAAACGTAAAATCCCAAGTGTGATAAGTGATATGAAGAAGAGGTACATGGAGCAACGAACGTATATAATAGTGAGGTTTGAGTTATAGAGCCCAGAAAAGACGTCTTTTCCAATGTGATGATTTTGTTTTGCATTTTTTCATTGAGGCATAATTTCAATGAATTTTGATACATATATTACATATATACACCAGGGTAACCATCACCCAGATCAATATATAGAATATTTCCATCATCTAAAAAGTCCCTACATGCCCCTTTCCAATCAATCTTCCAGGAAACCACAGAAACTGATCAAAGATTTTATATATATAAGTTTTGCTTTTCCTAGAATTTTGTATCAGTAGAACCATATAGTATATACCTTTTTTTGGGTCTCACTTCTTTCACTCAGCATTATGCTTCTGAGATTCATCCACATTATACCACATATCAGTAGTTTATTCTTTTAATTGCTGAATAGTATTCCATTTTACAAATACACTGTAAGTTTTTATCCATTCATCTGTTGGTGAATGATTGGGTTGTTTCTTGTTTTTAGTATTATAAAGCTGCTATGAACCTTCTTATAAAAATTATTTTGCAGACACATGTTTTAATGTCCCTTGGGCACTGGGGATACAAAAGTAGAATTACTGGTTATAGATTAGACATATATTTAATTTTATGAGAAACTGCCAAATAGTTATCCGAAGTAGTTCTGCCACTTTTATATTCATACCAGGAGTGTATGGGAGTTCCAGTTGCTCCACATCCCCACCAACATTTAATACTGTCAGGTTTTTAAAATTATTAAATGTGTGTGGTATCTCATTGTGGTTTTAATTTTCATATGAAGGAGGGTTGACTTGAAGCTGACATCTGAAGGATGAAAAGTGGGTGAATAGCACAGCTATTGAGCATTCTGGACAGAGAAAACAGAATGTGCCAAGTTCCAACATGAGAGGGAGCAGAGCAATGACAAGGGAACCAAAAGGGAGTGTGGTCTAGGGTGAGGCTGGTTAGGGGAGGAGTGGGAAGCTCTGAACCATTCACCTCCAAGGGCTCATGTGGGTCTGAGCAATGCACATACCAGCAGCGACCAGAATGAACTAAAAAACCAACCAAACAATCAAAATGAGTAATTTCCTGCACTGCATAAAACCCTGGGAATTTCATATTACCCTAGGAATTAGGGAGGCTCATAATGACCAAAATTGGATTTTTGTCATCTCAGCAGAGAGGATGGCTTAAATTTGATTTAATGAATGAAAGAAATGAGTATTTCTTGCATGTGACCATTGTGGTTGCAAATTCATGCTTACCACATGGAAGAGCAGGATTGCTTGATGGTGTTGAAGTTTGAGACCAGGAATTTAAAATGAAGTCATTCAGCCTATTTGCGTGATTTTTCTCTGGCAACATCTGACTGTTTAAGTGCAGGTATGAAACCTTACTTAGACTGTAGTGTTTAGCCAGGTTGTGGTTTTTCCAGTAAAATATGTTGGTGATCAAGGTAAGTAAGAAAATGATTGTAATGATGAATCATGGGCTCTAGGCTAGAACAGGAGGGAAATGAAGAATGGATGAGAATTGGTGCGTTAATGGATCAGGGATCCCAATGAGGTTGAAGAATTATAGCAAATGGGGTCCTAAGCACACAGAACTAAAAGGGTAAGAGGTAGTAAACAGAGAGTGAGGTATTATATTTTCATATTTCAAAGAAGGAACTCTTTTTGGGCTTTAAAGTGTTGAAGGTACAAACTTAGAAGCAGTGGCTCAGTTGAGAGGGTTATTGGAGGTAAGAAGATCAATTGACTGAGTGGCCAGGATATTGAATAGATCAACAGAGATACTGAACTCACCCATGGAGGTCAAGGACGGTGCTAGGAATTGGAGGGGACAGGGAAAAAGATGACTTGGGAGTTCAGAAAATGATGGCAGTCAAGATGGGCAGGGCGCTATATCTGAATGGAGAGAACGTCAGAAGAGCAGAGATCTTTACCAGAGGGAAGGGGAAACAATTAGGAAATTCAACTCCAGCAATAGAACTGTAAGTTTCACTGACATCCCTCCAATGGCTGAATGAACCACAACGAAAACTACCAGAAGCCTTTCAACTGGCAATGCTTTATTATAGGTCTTGCCACCAGGAGGGGCTGTCCATACGGGAAAGCAGACTTCCAAGCATCCCTGGAGACCAGAAAAGTATATCTCAGCCTAAGTGCTGAGGACCCCTACGGCTCTTGGGCGATATTGCAAGAAACTCAGCCATCCTCCTGCAAAGTTGCAATTACCTGGACAGAGATTTTAAGAGTAGGTAAATCCTAAAAACTTAACAAACAAACAAACAAACAAAAAAAAAAAAAAAAGGAAAAGAAAAATCCAAATTCTTTTAAAGAAGTTACTGAGTTATGGGAAGGTTTTGGTTATAATGAATTTTCCCAACCAAAACGATCAAAAAGCACAGCTACTATGTGGGATTTGATGACATTTTCTCCTAGGTAAAAGCATTCCTCATGACTGCAGGTTTTGAGCTGGTGGTAACATCATACCTTAAGATTTTTTTCCCTGGATCACTTGTTCTGAGCTGCATGAAATAGAAGAGCACAGGGCTGGAGTTAATTGTAGCAGCAGCACTATTAGTATTTATTATCATAATCATCAACATTTGGGTGTTTACATGCACCAGAATCTTATCTAAACATTGTACATAAATTTACTAATTTATTTCTCTTACTACCATTAGTCTCAGTTGACAGAGAAATAGGGTCCAGAAAGATCAGGTCACTTGCCCAAGGTGACATAACTAGTAGATGTTGTGATGGTGGTGGTTTGGACTTCAATTTCATCTTTCCCCTAATCAGAATAGTCCAGGTTATGCAGTGGGAGAAAACACCTCTGAATATCAGTAGATTAACTCAACAGACACTACCTGTTCTCTGTGGTTTGGCAGGAGGCCCGGGAGTATTTTGCTAACTTAGGGATGCAGGCTGACATGAGCTTCATTTTGACACATGCTTTCACCATCACAATCACTGATCACCATTCAGTGAAGAATGTACTACTGTCTGGAAGAGAAATGAAATGTTTCTGCTTGAAAGTGATGCATGTCACTTCTTACATTTCACTGCCCAAAGAAAGTCACATGCCACTCCCAACTTCAAGGGGTCAAGGAAATGCACTCCTGCCATTAGCCTAGGAGGAGGCAAAACAGACTCTTTGGCACTGATTACCACAAATACTCAGACCCTGGGCAGGTCATGCTTTTCTTGGCCTGTTTCCCTACTCAAAAAAAAAGAGTATAATAATTTTGTAAGGATCCCTTGTTAGGCTCCTTACTCAAGCAGGAATGTGGATTACAGTTATGATGAGGCAGATGGTTGCATCTGACTGAAGCTTCTATCAGTTGAAAATATTAGTCCCACAACAGGGAGCCCTGCAGCCCTCCATACAGAGCTGTCTGTGGAATGGCCTTTGTCCGAAGATACTTGCGAAACTTTTTGTCTCTCACACAACCGAGGTCTTGAAGACTATTGTTTTCATTTTAGTCAACATGCCACAGCTGTAGCCACAGTGCTTGCTAGAAAGCTCAGTCTGGAACCACCACTTGTCTAGTACATACTGAAAGCTAGAGACCACCTTGGCTTAAAGTGTGAGTGCCATGGTGAGTGATTCTTCCAAGGTTCTCCAAGCTCTTTCTTTGAATCTAGTCAGGTCATCAGGACTGTTTACTTGGCTTCTCAGTTTCACTCCACATACACTCCCCAGGATGTCTGCTCTTAGTCAGGGATGAGCTTTCACAGGAGCTCCTTTGCCAACCAGGGATTGAGGGCACTGAGTAGTACAAAAAATACCCTTAGGAAAAGCATTTCCCAAGCTTCATGCACACAGTAGGGACCTAACAGACTAGGTGATGAAGGCCATGAGAGTGGGGACTATCTTTTCATCTGGGTTTCAGAGCAGATGTGAAAACCTGGTACACCGTAGGTACTCAATAACTGCTCACTGCATGAAAATATTTCTAAAAATACTTCACATAATTTAATACATGATGACTTCCTTGTAGAATGTAGTGTCTATGGATATGCAATTAGGCTAGTTGAACTTCAGGCCCTGGGATTATTTGAAGCTAAAATAAGGCCATAATAGGGGAGGAGAGAAGGGCCCAGTAAAGGAGGACATTTCAAGCGGAGGGAAATCACAAGGTAATATCCGTGCGGGGTGTGCAACGCCTTGCCCGGAAGATTTAAACAGGAGGTGAGAGAGGGAGGTTGGGGCCAGACGCCAGTAAGGGTCTACGGTCAAAGTCTAGAAGGAAGAAACAGCAGGACTTTGATAGGGACAATAAGAGGAAGGTATAAAAGAGGCGGTAGTGCATCAAGTTCTGCAGCCTGGAGTTCCACCAAATGAAAGGCAGGACGGGTGGAGGAAATATATTATGCTCCCCAAAGTTCCTCTTATTTATGGGCGCTACCAGCTTACTGGGGGAATAACCTGACCGCCTACTCACCGGTTCCCCAGGGCCAAGGGAGAGAAGAAGCACCGCCTCCCCCGTCACGTGGCCAGAAGCGCCCTTGGCACGTGACCCATTTCGCTCTAGGCCAATCAGCCTCGGCAGGGGCGGAGACTCAATGGCAGAGGGGCTGGAGCGTCAGTCGAGGCCGCCTCTTCTCGCGAGTCTTGCTGCCGTCGCTCCTCAGCCGCCTACGGCCCGGAGCGAAGGTCTCGCGAGGCTTGGGCGCTGCGGCGGTAGGAGGAGGACGGCGAAGGACGGAGCCAAGGCACCCCTGCCTCCCTCTCTTACTCCTTCGCGCTCTCGCCCGCCCCCTCCCTCCCTCCCCTCCCTTCCCTGGCCCCGGCTCCGGCCTCGGCCCCTTCGCGGTTCGGTCTTCCGCAGGCAGGATGTCGGGCTCTTCGCTCCCCAGCGCCCTGGCCCTCTCGCTGTTGTTGGTCTCTGGTTCCCTCCTCCCAGGGCCAGGCTCTGCCCAGAACGGTAAGCGGGGCGCCGGGGACGGGCCGGGCGCAGCCCGAGGGACGCCGGCTGCCGGAGGAGGCCGTCCCGGGCCTGAGGAGGTGCCGGAGCAGGGGAAGGGGCCCGGTGGGGAGGCTGAGGGGCTGCGGACCCGGGAGGAGAAGATGCCGGTCGCGAGTTCGAAGAGGCGCGGGTGTGAGAACCGGAGGCGCCAGTCCAGGAGGTGGGGGCGTCCGTCGGGAGCCTGAGGTGTTGCCGACAGGCTCCACTTCGTGGGGCTTGTCGCTCCGAGTCGGGCAGGGGACGCCGAGGAAGCCGACGTGAGGAGCAGGAGTAGCGGAGGCGGAGGAGAGGGGGGAGCAGCCTTCAAAGAAGGCGGTGAGGAGGCATTTGTGTTTCAGGCGACGGGGAGCGGTGTCAGTCAGGTTCCCCAAGACGTCGGGGGTCCCGTGTGCTGGGGCGGTGAAGGATTCAATCTAAGACTGGCGACATCCTTAAAAAAATAAGGGAGATGTTGCGGGGGAGGGGAGGGGAGTCCGGAAGAGTACTGAGCAGAGTACTAGAGTCCTGAGGAGGGAGGGAGTAAAGGGGCCGTGGAGGTGGGGGGAAGGTGGGTGGGAAGCCCAAGTTGTGGACCGCCTGCAGCAAGCGATCTGGACGGAGAAGCCGCAGTGGCCCCAAACGAGATGGGGGCCGAGGGCTCGGTTTGCTCAGGAGAGCGGAGTGTTGGACATTCAAGGGTAGTGGTTGGGAGATCAAAAAGGAGTTTCTAAATAAGGACAGGAAAAATGAGCAGAATAGGGGGATAACGGGTTGAAACTGAGGTAGGGAGGAATATATTTATTAGAGGAAAAACCGTGCCTGGGTATAGAGATGGGGGTTGGGGAAGACAGAAAATAAAGGAAGGGAGTAAAATGCAGGAAGCCGGGGGTGTAATGTTGGTTTACGGTGTGGAGGATATATTAGGGACGGGAGGAAGGAGCTGAGCTGTAGCAGGTGCTGTAGGATGTTGGTCGGGCCCTTGGGAAGGCAGGGAACGCACAACTGGAACTGCAGGGTTGGGACTGAAGTTAGTGACTGAAGGGAGGGAAAGGAGGAGTGGGTTTTTAAGATCTCAAAGTTTCAAGGCAGAAGAGACATAATTTCTGAGGAAGATAAAAGTAGTCCCTGGGATGTCTGTAGGGTTTAGTGGAAATGAGAAAATTGGGTTTTGAACTGTAAGCTCAAAAGAGAATAAAATAAAGCTCAAAATAAGCTCTTTAGAGAATATGGAGAAATGGTGGGGACTCATGGTGATTGGGGAATCGAGACAGAAAAGATTCTGTTGAAGGCATGTGTTAAAATTTAGCTGTTGAATTGATTTTTCAGGGGTGAGACTAGAGTATTGTTTCTATTCTTGTGGAATATTTTTATAATAGGAAAGAATTTACAAGAAGTCTATTGAAGAGTGAACTATAAATTATTTTTGCTAGTCATTCAGTGTGTCTTTGTTGGCTGTGGTAGGACAATTTAAAATTACCCTTGTTGGAATAGCAGAAATTTAAGTGACTTTAATTTAAAAAAAAAAAATTAGTGATAGAGCCAATGGAGTTAAACATTCCAAGGAGAATCCTCACATAAAATGCTGAAGTGAAATATGTATCAGTGAAAATATACCAATAAAGGATTGAAAAAAGCATCATAGTTAAATATAAGTGTTGTATCAAATTGTACTAATCAAATCTTATGTATACTCTTCATGGTCTTGAATTATCATTGCAGGGGTCAGAAAGGAAACATTTTTCTGTCTCTAGCTTTGAATATGCGAAGTATATTGGATATTTTTCCTGTTTTCCTTCAAAGCATGAGACCACTGTGGAAGGCAGGGTAGAGTTAGTCTGGTTTGTGTTAACAGTTTTGGTCTGTGTTAACACTATGACTTAAAGAACTCCCAAATTTCAGCTATTCAGTTTGTGGAAATGGCATGCTTTCATTTGACACAATAGGTAGGAGATTCCTGATTTAACATGTTTTATCTGTGCTGGTGTAGCTTCTTTCAGTGATTTATAATGCAGTGAAATTGTAGTTTCTTAGCAACTAAAGTAAGGTTTTTAGATAGGCCTTCAAAGACCCTGTTGTATCTGGCTGTTGTCAGTAATCAGTGTTCTAAAAATTAAGTCACATGACATGGCTGGTGAGTGAAGCTGAGCTTGTAGTTGACCCAAATGAATGTAAATTTAATTCAAGGAAAAAATAGCTTTTTAAAAAAGTTTGAGTCCATTTAGCTAAGCATGCCATTTTTTAATAGCTTTCTGTGACATGTCTTATGATAAGATTCACACTTTGAACTGCTAATAGCTCTACAACAGTCCGACCTCATGTCATAGAGTTTGTATTTTCTTAGTGGGTCTGAAGTGGGTACTGTAATGTGGACATATTAGAAATGTTAGCTTATCTTTTTAAAATGACTTAAAAACAAACCCCAAAACCTAAGTGCTTCTGGGTTGTGTATGTGGTAATTCAGATTAAGTATAAATGTTTTTCAAAAGTTCTGTTTCATGAAGAGTTCTAAAATGAAGACTTTGAATTAGTGACCCTCAAGGTCTCTTCTAGCTGTGACCCATTACCATGGTGATTCAAGACTTTCACTCAGGTAGATTTTGTTTCCCTTCCAAATATTTAGATTTGCAGGACCACACTATCAAGTAAAATCCTTGTTTAAGGTGTTAGTTTTTTTATGTATCAAAAAAACTGTGTTTTTTTTAAAGAAAAAACTTGTCCTAAAAAGTAACCTTCCTGATAAGACATTCAAAAACTTTGGCTGAAATAAGTGGAGGAAATAAAGAGGTACAAACTTCCAATTATAAAATAAATAAGTCACAGGGATATAAAGCACAGCACAGGAAGTATAGTCAATAACATTGTAATAACTTGGTGTGTTGACAGATGGTAACTATGTTTGCTTATGGGGGGGTAAGCATTTCATAATTATGTAATTGTCATATCACTGTATTGTACATCTAAAACATATATCATATGCCAACTATACTTGAATACAAGAAGAGAATCTGAAAGAAACTCACAAAACTAGACTAAAATTCGAATTGAATGAGTATAAAACAAGTGGTATTTCATGGTGGTCAAGAGCAGGAACTCTGGATCCTGATAGACCTGGGTTTGAGTCCTAGCCCTTTGTTGCTAAGTGATTCGGAGTAAGGTTCTTAAAACTTCCAAGCCTCGATTTTGTCATCAGTGAAATGGGGTTAAAAAATGCCAATCCCCTAGGGGAGGTGTGAGGATTAAATGAGATAATGGCCATAAAGCACTTAAATTTCTGCCTAGCATCTAGTCTCAATAGGGAGTGAAATTTTACTGTATGTAACATGCTACATTATGTGTGTAGCATAACACTATGTACTAAGTGCTCACTGTAGTGAGATGTTAGTTATTACTATTATTCTTTAAAAAAGTAGCATTATTCATTACTTATTTTTCTTCACTTCTGTATTGAACACTTAGTTGTTACTGCTGCTCATTATCGTCTTGAAAAAATAGGCCATTTGAAGGTTCTGAACAGAGAGATTTGTGCTTTTGCTTATGACCAGTTGTTCCTCCACTGCAATTGCAGATTCTGAGAGAATTGGAGGGATCTCCTCAATTCTAGAACTGATAAGAAAGTTGCTATTTCTGTTTCATTGTCTGGGAAGTTTCATGGCTTTCTTTTTCTTTCAGTGAACTAAATAATCTTTTTTGTATGGGCTAGATAACATATTATCTTAGTATCTCATTGTTGTGAATGAGAGAAATCGAATGTAGTGCCTGACACACAGTGGGAGTGTTGGAGTTGTTAGCTGATGTCATTTTGCTTGGATGATATTAGATAGTTGTGAACATTTACTTTGTAACAATGCCAGTGTTTGCATTAGATGATTAATGAATCTTTTTCTTTTCTGTCAAGTACTGTTTGCTTCTCTCCCTGAATATGTTCTTAGACATGTATTTGCTATTAACTGTGCATCTCCTCTTTGGGTGAATTGAAACGAACAACAGAAGACAGATATATATGGCAGCTGTGGCACAAATGACATACCAAATGTCAAACAACAGATCTTAACCCAGATTTTAAATAACCAGAAAAATCGTTTGTCTTGGAATAAAGTATTTCCTAAGTAAGTCTCCAGTCTCTCAGGCAACGATAAACGTGTCACTCCTGATAAAATGGAGCACCCCATCATGAGAAATTGGTCAGGGGCCTGGGGTAGAAAGGCCATGGTAGCTACATTAGGACCTGTTCCGTGGCTCTTTGTCTTTGATTTTCATGGTTACTGGATCCAAATTAGAAAGAGATGCAGGTGGGTTTTTGTGTTGCCAGATGTAAAAGAGCTTAACCAGTTAATATACCAAGGTTGAAAACAACAAAAGGAAATAAAAATCCTTAAATATAAATATACTCCACCTTCCAAACATTTGCCATAAATTTGAAGATCATTACACATCTGACTTAGCATGACTTAAATTCTCATGAGAAATTAGACTATTTTTTGTCTTGATTATTTTGATTAGACTATTTTGCCTTTATTTTTCTCATTAATAGAATTTTGATGTGAAACACTATCTTGTGGAGTATACTTCTAAATATTAATAGGCAAAATGCTATTGTATTGTCTTTATTTAAAAAAATTTTTAAAAAAGAGTAACTGCACTACAAACATGACCAGCTATGACTAGAAAAATACTCTGTCAATTTGGATATTGTATTCATTTATTTAGTTTGATGCACTTTTTCAAAGTAAGATGTTTCATATGTGAAATCTGAAACACTGCTGGACTATGTCAAGTTTTTTATTCACACAAGACAATTCGGGAAGGAGTTGTAATCTTACACCTATACAAATGATGTATGTAGAAAAACAATGAATGATTATGTTGGATAACATACAGGAGATGTTCAAAAAAAGTCTGAATACAATTATGCAAAGAAGTATTGGAAGAAGTGAGTTCTGTGAAAATTTTTCTGATGCATTCTATTCAATTTGTTGTTG